ATACAGAACTTCCAAAAGTGTGAAAGAATTCGACCAAAGGGCGAAGTAATCTGATTACGGAGAATATAGAACGCTCACGTAAGCAAAACACTAAGATAGGGAAAAATACAATGGAATGAAAGCAAAGGCTCACGTTACTCCAGGTAAACAGAGCAAAGAAAAGAGGTTACCTGAGGGTTGTGTTGGTCGGTGTTGAGCATGATTATGGCATATGACAAAGTGAAAGCTGCATCCACATGATTGAAAGGTTCATGATTAGCTTTGTACCATTGTTCTAAACAGAAAAGGTGCAGATACATCACATATGAAAACTCCGTAAAGGTTACCTGAAAAGTGTTGCATAACCATGCTGATTTCAGCAGCTTCGCCAGGAAGACGGAAAGTTTCCAGAAACATTCTGAGCGCATCATCCAAGCGCGTATTTTCGAATGGGAACGAGCTCACGAATGCTTGCAGCACCTAGAGATGAATGAGATCAGAAAGGAGAGGACTAACAAGATAAAAATAAAGTAAAAAATAATCCGAATGGTTGAAAAAATTATATGTATATGCTCAATATCAGATATCAGAGATACTCACATCAGCATGTTTTCTGCTGCAAATATAATCTGCTATTTTCTTCTTGTCCAACTGAGGATTGGCTCTCAACCAGTTGACCACGCTGGTAGCATCAGCACCTAACAGGCCCTTTTCACGCAAGAACTCGATTCCTGCAAATGCAACACTACAAAAACAATCAATCAAAGGCTACAAACTAAAATAACTTGAGGAACACAGGCAGCTCTAAAAAGCGAAACACCCCACCTTTCTTCGGGCTTTGGTTGAAGAGTTCTGTACCATCCGCAATGATCTTCTTTCTCTTTTTTTGTTCGATAACCTACACACGACAATCATCAGAACCACTACTACTATTAGATAAGCTTCTTACTTGCTCCATCGACGGCATGTTGTTTGATGGCGCATGACGATTAGCACAGGGCATCAAAGCCTTAGTTGGCATACGCTCAGGAATATCTAAAAGGATGGAGTTCAAAGGCAGCAATGACATTACACAAAAGTTCTTTGGTCCTTCATAGGAAAACTGAAGTTAATGCAGTGCGAGAAGCAAAAAAAA